TTCTCAGAAATCATCTCTGGATGCATTTCTGCGCGCCTGGCGACTGTTGTGCAGTTCAGAAATTTTCAACATCTAAACTTGGACGTGAAAATGGCTGTAAATTGTTGCGGTTTTATGTCTACAGTAGATGAAAAATGATTCTGTGATAACAGAAATCAGTGCGTCTCATGAATGCTGACACGGGTACGGATTACTGCCCGGACTTTCATGGTATACATTCAGAATGTTCAAGGGTTTGTGATGGCGTCTTGTGCAAAGCACTCCGGCGTTGCAACTTCAGAAGGCATCAGCTGCACCTGCTGTGGCCACAGTTGTGTATGCAGCGCTGGATACAAATTGCAGGCTTCCGTTCAGCCTGCTTTGCGAGGGGCAGCAACGCCGACACTCCAGAGAACCCATATAGGCTCTTCGGTCTCCTTTTTGGGGATGTTGCCTACGCTCGGCGCACATGCGCTGTACGGCAATGCACTCTCGTAGTCGGAACTGCTGCGCAGCGGCGCAGCCAGATATACCGTCTCTGTGGATGGGGTGGGAGACGCAATCTCCATGATCATCTGGCGCAGAGCTCGTCGACCTTTGCTTAACAAGGCACTGGAGCATCCGGGGATCCACCTCAGGGTCTCATATCAGTTGGGGCAATCACTTCGCCATCCTCTTGGACACGTTCAGTCGATTGCGGATGGTGTTAAAACTCTACCCAACCGCCACTGAGACACCAGCGCAGTCACTAAGAGTGCAATTTGCACGGTAAAGCATGTAAGGAATAGATTGACCTATGTGTGCGAATAGGAGTCAATCTTACAAAATTTGTGTAAATGGGGGTCAATCTTACAAAATTGACATCTGTTCCTAATTAGGTTCAGCGCTGTTTGCAAATGGAACCAGAGTATCCAAGCAGCCGGTGTCACAAGAATAGAGGGCTCCCATCGGTCGCTTCGGCAACGCCAACCTGCTGTCCTGTGATGGTTTGGGAAGGCGCACAAGAGACCAGTAACCTATTGTTACAACAAAGATCGCTCCTGTGAGCCACACACTCTAGAGTACGGCAACGCGATTTGTGATTTTGGCGTCCGGCACAGCTGGAAACGCGACTGCAACACGTTCAAGTTTCCGTAGGATACAGCTTTCAAAAGTGTTTGGCAAGATTTCATCAATTAATCGTGCCGGTCCATCCAAGTGCTACCTGTGCGGCAATGTTCATCGATGGCTGCCAAACCATCACAACACTTGCGCGCCAGAGGACTTTGTAGGCGATGTTCGCACCAAAATGGTGTCTAGGAACGTGTTTGGAGGCGAGAACACGCCATTTTTCAAAGTCAGGTCATATCGTGTTAGCAAATCTGTGTTGGCGACAGTGAACATGACCACACGCCATTCTCACAACCTTGCAACCTAGTAAGGGAGGCAGATTCTGGCGAGCCTCACGCCGCAGCACCCACAGGTGAGACAGAGGGGCCAATGGGAGACGCAGCCGGGCGTGCAATGGTACTGACGAAGGCATGCAGGGTCGAGGGGTGGCGACTCCTGAACGGGGACCGTAGGCTCGAGTCCACGGCAACGGTTTACAGCCGAGCAACGGGGCAACAGGAGTTCTGTCCCTTTTACGTGAAACGGCCGGCTGCTCCCGCCCTTTGGGGCCTCATCAGCCGCACTCACGCCGGAAGTCCCAATCAAATCCCATTAGTACAAATGCACTGATGTACAAGTGAGAAATCCTGAACTCCGGCATGACAGTTTTGCCTTTTCGGTCTGCGTGTCCCCAATGCCGAGGCAACAAGTTGAAGTTCGGCAACAAAAAGGATGGCGCTCACTGGCGCTCGTCCCCTTTTGGCTCCTCCGCCAGTGAGTCCAGAAACCGGAACACAAAAATCCCGGTCCAAGCTGGTTGTCCACTCACCAGTGCGCGTCCCCGCGCCTGGTACCCAGCTACCGAGTTCAAGTTGTCCCATAGTAATAAGAGAAGCGCCGTCTCCCGTTCACATCCAAAACTGGCGCTTTCCCACCCTGCGCCGTCCCAGATGTAAACGCTTCAACTACGCTAACGCTGCGTATCCAGTCCGTTCATCAACGTCCCTAACGCAATTCATAGTGCCTCATCGCTTCTTTATGCGTCCAGCTGTTAGTAATACTCAATCAGCTTCTGGCTGCAACGGTATTTACCCCTCACGCAGCAGATAACCAACAATCCCCCCGCACCGCAATAGAGGCCAGCTTCGGTCCTATTGTCCCTGCCAGAGCTGAGGTCCTAAGGACCAGGGCAATGCGTACGGACGGCTGACTAACATACGGCCCTTGGCCTGCCGCAGGTGGACAGAGCCCTTTGTGTCGCCGTCCTCTGCGTCGCGCCCGCCCACCGTCGGGGACTGCAGGCCCCGCCTGAGCGAGTTGGCACCCCGGCCCGCGGCCTCTATGCATTGCCGGGGCTGCCCGCGCGGAAAAGGACCCGGCAGCTCCCCAGCTAGCAGATCCGCTCCCCACCCGCCCTCCTGCGCCCTCCAGCCTCGCCATCCTGCACCCCGGGGATCTGAAGGCCGGCGCCGGGCGCCCGCCCAGTGCTTGCGTCAGAATGGGCACACGGGGCCCCACGGCGTCGGACTGCGGTCCGATCCACGCGCGCAATTTTTATCCCGCTTACCCAATGGCGCAATGCCTGCCCGCCGGCAATGCCCGCCACGCACTCGTACTCGCAACAGCCATTTCCGCCGCGTCGCCGCTACGCCACCCGCCTACCCGCACCTGGGCTTTTTGGCCCCGGGTCCTTGAAGGTGAATACCGGTGTGTCAAGCGCTTTGCTCCTGTGGATTTCTTGACGGTGACTGATTTGTGCGATCAAGGACCACCGAGGTTCCGCTGGCCCTGGCCCATGGTGCGCTGAAACCCTGCGCCATGCATCCCGCCCACCGATGCCCCCTGTCAAGAATTTTGATTCACTCAGCACGCTGAAAACTCAGATTGGAGGTTCTGATTAGGACTGCGTACCTGCATTGTGTGGCGGCTGTGTTTCAGCTGATGCTGCTCAGCGATGGCTCAGTCACAAGACATTTGCAGCTCCTCCTTGAGGACAGGGTTATGGTGGTGAGTGGATGGACAATGGTCTGATGAATATGGGGACAATTCAAAGATGTGCTGATTTGCTGTGTTAGCCATAGCCCTAAAGCTGCCCACCACACCCATCAGTGCAGCTGATTATCCCTTTCGGAGCATTATCACCCTGGGGCACAAGCTTTACTGTCATTGACCCACACCCTAGTATTTGTCTCGATTTCGAGAGGCACAATGCTGGCAGTGTAGATGCTGAGTGTGGTTTTACTTTGCGAGTGTGATCCAAGCAATGTGAAGCGTCACGTTTCTCTGAGCCTGTAATAACACACTGTGTGGGATGCCACTGGTTCTTCCTGGTGCTTGAAACAATAATACAAATGTGGTACATCCAGGCTTGGGAGCAGCAAGGATATGCCAGACACATATGGTGGGCTTCTCCACAACTGTAGCAATGCTTATCCAAACCCAGCTTGCCGGATCCACACAAAGGCCCCCCCTGGCCATGCAGATGAAGCGGGGGGGGGGAGGGGGGGGATGAGAAAGAAGGAAGTGCACACACACAACCCTGGGCTGCCAATGCTGTCTCACTGATTTTCATGATATGTGAATAGCCTTGATTACATTGCCACTTGCGTCACCGCAGCTCCCTTCTGCCTTGAAGGCGATGCTCATGGAATGCATGCATCTGCTGCAGGACTCTGTGCAGACAACTGTGCCTGAGCAAGCATCAAGCAATGTGCCTGCCGCTGCCTTGTCCATCCCTGGGCCACTTGTGCAGCGACAAGTCTTGCTCAGGGTCCCATCCACACCACCTTTGGTGTATGCTGCATCGTGGTGGAATGCGAGTGCTTTCAGCAGTGGTGTGATAGATGCAACCAAGCCGGTGGGCGCCAGCCTGAGAGAAGGCAAGCTGGAGACATATAGGGAAATTTTGCGTGTGTTCAAAGGAGAATCTGATGTGGTGGGGGACTTGTTGGGAGCAGAGGGGCCATTTTGGGGAAGGCAGTACCTGCTGTGGCACAAGGGGGCGCCCTTGACTTGCATCTACGAGGTGTTCTCTTGTGCCCTCCAGAAACAGCTCTGCCCTTCAACAGTTGTGAATCTGGGGTCCAGGAGGAACGGGGCCAATGGCAGGAACGGGGTCACTCGCACAGCAACAAGTGAATGACACAGTGGCCAGAATGATGGACTCCAGAAGAGCTGCCGAAACGATTCGCACTCCAGCGGTATTTTTTCGACCATTTGTAGGGACCGCTACTGCGAATGGGACTCGACTATATTCTTGATTGTCGTTTTCTGAGTGCCCAATGGTTTTATTGGCTGCATTTCATTATTTCACGAACCAGTGTTGTGCAGGTATTTCTAGGCGCCTTCTCATAAGACAAGCATTCCACTGAATCTGGCTTGGGACAAGGTGCCCTTGACATCCAGCTTGCAAAGTGCTCGCCCTGCCCCCATCACGCGGGTGTGACATTAGTGTGTTGTGTGTCTGCATGAGTACTCCCAATTTTCAGCTCCAGGAGCCAGTCGGCACTGAAGTACAAAACAACATTGTGGCTCTGCTCTGTGTGCAGCGTGTGCAGAGCGACAATGCAGCAGGGGCGTCCTTTCGAAGACATTTGTGAATATGGCTGCTGCACTGCGATGCCCATCCCTTGGACTGTGCCCCATGCAAGCCAAATGCAGTACACGTGGCGTTTACACATTGTCTGTTCTATAAAATGAAAGTGTTGCATATCCTTTGGAATGCCCACTTCCCTTCCTATCAACCCCCCTGTGCTGTTATGCAAAGCAATCAAAACTGAACACTCCAATGGCTTCAGCGCACCCCAAAACTCCAACCAGTTTGGCAGGGGTGTCCATTTGCCACTGAAACGTGTGTTCCCTCTGTCTTGATGCGACTGCTATGGGCAAAGCCCAGCGCGCACATTATTTCCATTTGCGACTCAGAAACCTTTCTATATGCCCTCATTTGCCATTCTCTGCAGCAGCTCCTCATCGTTGACATTCGCCAGCTCTGCTATGCAGTGGCATAGGCTCTTTCCCATCCTGTAGTAATCTGCCGCTGTGAAATGCGTGTTGGAACTCGAGCATCCCCCAAGGCTAGCTTCTACCGTGTAGCTGCCCGTCACTCCGATCTCCTGGCACACCACAACGCGCCCCGTGGACATCTTGCTCCGTCGAACTTTGAAGCTGCATTTTTCCAGGCTGTAACCCTGTCAAAGGCCCACAATGAGACCAAAACGAGAGTCAGTCTCTGGATGCGATCAAACTGGCACAAGGTGTCTGACAAACGGGTCAGCAAAGCGCCCGTTGGGTCGACCAGGCCAAATTCTGTGACAGCGCAGAAGTGAAATTCCTAACGCAATGTTTGAAACGGAAGATGTAAAAGCGCTGCACCATACAGGCAACAACGGGCACTTGGCCGCATTCTTTGGTGTCTGAACGCCTTCCGCGCAGTTGATCAGACGCCATGAGACTGGAAGGGCGTCATCCCGTGGCTGCCAGTCAATTCATCACCATGATTGCATGGGCAGAAAAGGGACGTCAACTCTCAAGGAGAAGCATACTTTCAAATTGCCACAGGATGCTCCCAGAGCCACACTTGTGGTTTTCGATGTCGCAGTACAAAAACACTTTTTGCTTCCGTTCCCGCTCGCCAACTGGCGAGGACGCTTCTTTTTACGTATTACCATCGACAGTCGCTTCTAGGCATTAGGATTTATTAGACTCGCAGATTTTGTTTGTGCCTAACATCAGATATCAACGAACTTATCACAGACTCTGCTTTGCTCGGGCAAAATAGGAAGCTGACGGCTACTTCATAGCCTTTTTCTGTAAGAAATGATGATGATGATACTCCCAGATGCAGAGCAGAAGAATCTGTGCGCCATCAGGCTATCGAATGGCCTGATGGACGAGGGTGTCCTGGCCACTTACCGGGTCATACCAGCTCAGCAAGTAAGGTAGCATCCGCACACGCAGACGGGCTCTGCTGTCCCCGAGCACAGACCCTTTGCATTCGTCCGTGGTGCCCACCTCACTGTCCCCATTTGAGAGCCTCGCCCCGTTCTCTGCCCCGCACGCAGGACCGTCTTTTGGGCTGCAGTCCTCAGAGCCGGATTCTGCTTTTGATGTCTTGTTCGAGACGGCAAACGGCTTGTCAGGCACAGATGTGGGCACCGTGAACGCCGAACTGCCACTGGGTTCACACCTGCGGAGCAGAGTGGACAGCCGTTAAATCAGAACTGTGAAGGCTGATTCGGAGCAGAAACCGATTTGTCCTATTCTCCAGCCACGCCTCATGCTGCGTGGCATCGCCTGCGAGGGCCATGGGCACTGGTCCGCCATGAAACTTTGCACGGAGGGGAACTTTCTGAATGCTGCCAGCATGTCGCATATGTCGTTCGACAAATTTGGCTTCACTCTGGAAAAACATCGCCCTGCGCTCACACGCCCCGGCAGCTGCAGCAGTGTTTGAGAACATGGCAGATGATAGACACTGCTTTGCTCGGGCAAAATTGGGAGCTGACGGCCACATCATTGCCTTGTTCTGTAAAAAATGAAGATGATGATGACCTGGCAGATGATGGCCACCGCACATGTCACGTTCCTACCCTGGCTGTCAAGGGCAGCTTCTAATAGTCACATTGGTGATTGCGCCACCAGCATGCACACGACCGTACCCATAGAGGAAGGTGTCCATTTTCCTTGAGTGTCCATGAAGATCTAAGAAGAGCGCCAATCGCCCGGTGGCTGCCAGAGTTTCCACCAGTTTCTTTGCATGATAAATTGTGGGGTGGCGATGTGGGTCGGGTCTGTCCCACACACGGTTGAGATCCACGCCAGCAAGGTTGCAACGGTAGTTGCCGTTTACAACACCGTCCGGGTTCAACATTGGAATGATCTTGAAGACAAAGGAACGGCGAAGAGATTGAGCCGTCGGCGAAGTGCTCAAGAGAAATTCAAGGAGGCCCTGCGCAGTGAACACAACTCTCGTTGCCTTCCCATCAACGGGATTTGTGGGAAAGGGTTTCACACTCGCTTCATGGCCCTGCAGAGGCTTCTCAAACGCAACAACAGTAGGAGAAATCGTTTCAGAATACGCATAATTACCAGCTTCTGAGCACCCCATGCTTCTATTTCTTCCCACCCACCCATTCGTTACCCGTCTCGTAAGGAGCGCAGGGGCGCACACTCAAGTTCTCCCATAGGTCCACCCATATCGTCGCCCAACTGTGGAATGCACAAAGTTGAGCCCCCAATCTGCACAATCATGCCGCGATGCTTCAGCGATAGTGAAACTTCCCTCAGCAAGCCTTGGGTGGCTCGCAGTGATGGCCTCCTACCTATCATCCCCGTGCGGCAGTTGCTCCCAGAGGGAACGCGACACATCATTCACAGCACTGTGCTGCAAGAAAGCAACTTGCCTATTTCCATCATGCTCCTCAGCTGTGGTGCACCCCCAGTATCACAGAAGCATTGAAGGTCGCTACCTGCATCACCCAGGACCCGCTGGTCTCCCCTGGATGGACCCTGGCCGTCACCACAACGTACTCCTTCCGATCCATGACCTCTGGCGAGGCACTGAAATCTGTGATAGTTATCAGGTCGCAACGATGTCCCTGGAGTGTCTGGGACAGAAGTCCCCGGTAGACTACTTGTTGGTGATGCTGCCGTGACTGTGCCTCATTAGCTTCAGACCCATCAAGAAACGCCTGCAAGAGACGCCATTTTCGGGTTCATGTTCTTCGCTCAATACAAAGTAAAGCTTTGAACACGAAAATGGACAAATTGCGGAACGTTGCTACCATAATGCCAGGGATGGGCTACAAAGTGGGCATGTGCTGGTGCCCCACGCAGGTATATGCAGCATATTCGGCAGGAAGCTGTGCATGCTCAGAGGCTGTGCCCACATCGTGTAGCCCTGGTGCAAAGATTTGCAAACAGTGATGTTATGCGAGCTATTTAAGACAGCAGCAGGAAAGCAGGTGCAGCACACTCAATGCAATGGCAATGTGTTCTCCACAGAACGTATGCAAATTCCAGAGGACACATCTACAACATATACAGTGCAGCAATTGTAATCTGCATGTGTGTGATTTTCACTCCCAGGTGCCTGTGAAGAGGGTTGGGCTTGCCTTCAAGTCGGAGTAGCCATAAGGGTAGCAGGCAGCCAGGTAGTGTGAACCAGCAGTGGGAAATGAGACAACGAAGCTCAGGCACCAGAGTCCAGGCCCCACATCTGGAAGGTCGAATGTCAAGCCCTCGCGGACAGCTTTTACCTGAGCCTTGCTCCCAGTTTTCTGTACCAAGATGTGAACACACAGTCAGATAGTGCCCCCTGTCATTCTGCAGTCCATCGCCGATATTGTGCACCTGAGCGAGCGCTGCCACCACCACAGAGGACAGTTTGTGTGTGCACGCCTTTGCCGATGCGAGTGCACTTTCTGCCAAAACTCAAGAGCTGTCTTCCAGAACCAAACATGACTCTGTTGCTAGCAATACCGAATGCTGCCAACCACCAGGTGTCCATTTCAGGATGCTCCAATCATCGACAATACCTTCTTCCCCGTTATCCTCTTTGGCGCACATTTCCGATGCATGGCATGTCGTCCACGGCATGGAGATGGAAAATAGCAAACCTCTTCTCCGATTCGGTGCCACCCAGCAGAGTGCTGTTGACCATTCAGTGGTAGCGGGCATTCCACCTGTTCGTTGCCAAGAGGCTCCCCTTGACCGCTGCACATGAGTGGCCGTGTGCCAGAGTTGTAGAGGGAAGCTTTTTTGGAAAAGTTCACTATGTTCAGGCGATATTGCACTCCTGGTGTAGCATTTCGCACAGAGAAAAGAAACCATTGGCGGTTCCCCTTGTCTTCGCTGTGTGTTAGAACAAAGATGCGAGTCAATCAACTTCCCATAGGTAGGTGCTGCACGTTGATAGCGTGTCAAATGCAGATATTTATGATTGTGGTGGTGATGGCAACACCAGCTTGTGGAGCCAGGGCCAATGCATGCCCACATGTGTGTGACCCTTCCACACCACTCCTGCTGTTAAAGCCCCACGTCTTCATTGGCACCAAAGCAGTACATCATTTGCTTTCAATGATCAAGCACAGAGACAGTGGTTCAATAAGTACCAGAGGCTCAACAAGCAATCCAGCACCAGTTTCTGGAAGCAGACAGTGCCAGTGTACTGTGTCACCTGCTTTTGCCACTGCATTTAAACGTCTTCAACAAAGGCCGGAATACTGATGATGCAACCATGGACTTCTCCTTCCATTTCAGTCCTCAGTGTCATTGGTACAAACACGGTTGGCAGTGAGGCATTGATGCAAGATGATATTTGATCTGCCACTACGTTGTTTCCTCGCGTCAGGAACTCAGCAGCAAATAGGAACGTTGCGGAAAACCGATCTCTCCGACTCTGAGCGAGCCATCCGTTCGCAAGTTGCACTCGTACATGTCGAGTCGCGCATTGCCTTGGGGTCCCGCACTCTGCCATTGTCTGCATTCAGCAACATGGAACTCACTTTTCGTTTACATCGGAAGTCAAAAACAGGTCGTATTCGTGCTCGTACACTTGGACGGCCCGGCGCAGGTTGCCGCACTCCCATCTAGACTCGAATTCGAGCCTGTCGGGCCCTCGTCCTTCCTCCCCAGCCAGGTGCCCCCTCATGCATTCCAACCATCCTCCTCGCCCCGGCCCCACCGCTTCGCAGCGATCACCTTCCGCCACCGCCGGCGAGCACGCCGACACCTCCAGGGGGCCGTTCTTCCCAACGCAAGGCGACTCCCCGTGTCCCCCTCCCAGCCGGCGGGCGCCGATCGAACGCCGATCCGATCCCCCTCCCTGGGCCCATGCGTTGAGGCGGCATCCCAGGGCACCGAGCTGAGGCGGACTCTCCATGCAGCCATCGCAGCCGTCGGGGATGGGGGCCCGCCGCGCTCCCGGCTGGGCCGAGGGCGGGGCGAGCGGGTCGCTTGGCGGGGCGCCGTCCGCGAGGGATCGCCAGCCCGATGAGTTCCAGCGCTCCAGCTCCTCTTGGAGCAGCCTGATGTCCTTGGACACGGCTGCAGAGGGTGGAAAAGCACACAGTGGCTTACGAGCGCGCTGGGGCCTTGCTCCGCGGGACGGAGTCCCGAAGGCTGCGGGCCAGCGACCGGTGGCTTGAGGCCGGTGGAAACGACGCAGCGTCCCCCTTACTCCTTCTGGAGATGAACGATACAGTACAGGAAGGAATCGGTATCCGGTATTGGAAATTTGCCTGAATGCGTAAAGTACTCCAACACGAGTCCCCTGGAGCGCATTCGATTCCGCAACACTGAGTAACCTTAAGCTGTTGTGGAGGAGCCGGAGGTGCTCAGCAGTTGGTTTTTCCTGAATGGAGGTTTCTTATAATTAAACGACCAGCTCGAAATCACGTAAGGGTCCCTAGTTCGGACAATTTGCCGAGCCAAAACACTGGGTACGTATTGCACTAGCAGAAAACACAATTATTGGGATGCCAGCGGCGATGTCATTCTGACAAGCGGCTGCATTGCAGTGATTGTGGCAGAGCAAAAGTAGCTGTGACGGCATCAATTCGTGTCCAGTGGCATTGCAGTTGGCATTGCACAAATGGTGTCTTCTGCTGGTCTTAGAATTGGATAACATACGGCAAGAAAACCACCGACTGGCTCCATTTCGGATTCATGATGGTCGATAACTTCCCGACTGTGCACTTGACTCCAAAGTTTTTCACCAGCTGAACTGTATGGCTGGCGCCAACTGCCACCATGCTGTCTGCAAAGCTAGCAAACTCCATAAACTGACAATGAGCTTCTACGCACCGGCACACAGCCATCAGCGAGTCCATGGCTGGTCACTCGATGGCAAGTTGCTCCGTGCAGAATGTAAGGAACTTCAGTTCAATTCCTTTCGGCCAACCAGCAGAGCGTGCTTTGTCGCAGCGGCATGCTCCACATCAGATCGTGATCACTGATCTTAAAGGCAAACACAGGTCCAAAGGCTGATTGCACTATGACGTGAACAGCTTGAGAGAGGCACAGGAACTACTGGGGCGCTGTTAATTGCGGATGCCGTGCAACCAAGCTTCAAGCGACCCGTCCATTGCTTCGCTGGAAAGGCTGTGGAAGCTGGCAGCGTACCTGGTGAGGCGCCATCGGCGTTAATTCGACGGGCCTCGCTATGGTGAGGGTCATCTGCCCCGCCGCAAAGAGGAATGGAGCAGCTGGTGCCTGCTGCCCCAATATCCGCGTTGTCAAACACGACGCGCTGGATTAACTGCGAGGGATTCACCAGTCGCTGGAGCATGTACATCTGAACACGAGCCACAGACAGGACGTCACGGCCACAGGGAGGAGGCATTGCGCATGTAGCCCCACGACGACCGCCCAGCCATGGACATGGCACTCGTTAAGATATACCGTAGCATGTTCAAACCTCTGGCACAAAAAAAATTTCCGTTACGCGCATTGCTCTGCATTGCCTGCTGCCGCCTATTGCTCCGCATTGTTATCTCTGCAATTAAAGGCCAAGCGTTACGTCACTATGAGAAGGGCTGAGCATACTACGGTAGAGGTGGCTTCGTGACGAAGACGCGAGACGGCCCCTTGCTGTATGCACAAGCAAGCCGAACCAAGTGTCATGAGCAAACTTGAGTGTGCCACAACCTCCATGTGATTCCAGCCATGATGCTGCGAACGGTGCTGACGTTGGGAGGTCACAACGTCGTCTGCAAGTGGGCAAGAGAGTCCTGTGCAGTTGCGGATTCTCACAATCTGTGGCGCCTACCATCATTTGCGGCACCACTGACTCGCCATCCCAGTGCAGTGGCTCTGGGGGCAGTGGATGGTCAAGGAAGTGCTTCGTCATGTCCTTGGCTCGCTGAGGAGGATCGACAATGTTCACGGCGTGCCGTACCTGAAGCAAGCGCGTCCCAGTCAGCGCAGCCGTTGTGACTTTTTCGGGATGGGTAGGAACACGCGTACTTGTTGTACTTAAGGATGGCGCACACACGGAGCAGAACGAACTTGGTTTGATGCTTCATATCAATGAAATGTAGGGAACGTACGCAACACTACAAGCCGTTGTGGGCTCACAACCAACTCACGATTTCAGAAGCATGTCTACGACGAGGCCAATTCCGTGAATCCAACATAATGGCCAGTAAGGCAGCAGAGAGATGCGTTGGGAAGCTGTATAGCTTATGTCCGCAGCAGAGATTACACAAGAGCATATTGCCGAACAGCGTTTTGTGTTCATGGGATTCGTGCACTGCTGAGAAACAACAAAAATTGACACAATACGCCATAGAGATGGCAATGCAGATAATTAGACGTAGCTGGTTGCAGACAGTATTTCTCTGTTGTGGTCAACCTTTTCGCAGGGATGGTCATCAAGCGTGGCATGCTTCATTTTTCAGCCCATTCACCTTCAAACAGGTTTGGCATTTACAAACGAAGCCAATGCTGCGTTTCGCGCAAAAAAAAAAAGACTGGCGGTGTGAGGCCTAATTCCAATGACTTTATGACAGTGGCAGGAGAAAAGGGCAGCAAAAAAGACGCAAATGTGCCCACATGCAATAGCAAACGCCTGCCGCAAGTTCGGTGAGATTGTCACCCTCTACTAAGGGAAGGTATTGTTGGGGCCAAGGGCGAGGAGGAGCACTGTACATTGTGAAGCCATCGCAAACATGCATCAACATGCACACAGGTATGTGCTTCTGTGTATTTGCGTGCACACATGGGCATAATATGCAAATGCAAACTTCGTGCCGTCATTGCAAGACCAAGCACGGCTTCCATAGTACAGACTGGGTTGAGCAATCTCTGTTGCACAAACGTTGTAAACCATTCTGAGTTTGTCACGGATACAGGCCGGATGTCCCTGGTGAATTGAAGCGAATACAAGCTGCAAAGGGACATCTTCAGCCAAATTTTACCTGCCTAATATCATGAGACTTCGCTGGCGTTGGCGATGCATTCTCTCGCGCCGGGTCGTGCATTTCGGGAAAGAGCTCGAGCGCCCTTGACCCAGCACAGTCGGCAGCTGTGGCCAATGAAAGCAGCAGTGCATTTAGCGCAGGGTGCGACCACATGGCACGCATATGTTGCTGCATGTGGCATGCAGCCAGCAAAACGGCAGCATGTTCTCTCATGCTACGCAGTACAGGATCAAATGCGCATTCATGTGTTGTCAAAAATCACCCAACGCTAGCTCATTTGTTGGCAGATTATTGGCCGAGATGGACCGGGAGCCAGTCCAAACAGACTGTCCAGGCTGGCTCCCACCCCACACAGTCAGAAATCATCACAGTTTGAGAGTTACAGAAATGTGAAGAATCTGTGGAAGAAATGAGAGGCAACCTGGCAAGAAATATGGCACCAGTGCTGTCCACTGTGTGTGATGCTGACTTGCTCTTCATGAGTGTCAGCACTGCCCACCTGAGGGGAGGCTGCACTTCGACTGGTCTCTCCAAGGCAGCTCCCAGTGCAGTTCTGGCTCTGGCATTTCTGAAACCATGTCTGGGTGCAGCAGCCACAGTGTGCGATAAAGGCGCTGGAACGCAGCATGAACACAAAGCATCACAATGGAAATAATAGCAGCCCCAATCGTGCCCAGCCGCCTATATAATTCACAAACAGCATCGTCCCTGGGCTCTCATCTGTTTCCAAAAAGGAACTGCCCAAATGCAAAGTTGTTAAATATATCCCTACCCTTTCAATTCCTTCAAATGTGCAGCATCGATTGCAGCGGAGACAGCTGGTCAAACCACTGAGCAATTTGCAAACTGGATGCAGTGTGGATCATTTATGCGTGTGGTGTATGTGTAATTTAGGTCAATTCTTTTTGATGAATTGGCAACGATCCACGATGACTGTTGCTTCCACAATGCAGGTGGGGTCTCCTGTGGCTCATGCATGTGATCAGCAGTCACCTTGAAGAGTTTGTATTGTTCGGGCCGAGTAGCCAACATTTCAGCTGCCTCCAGGAGGCTCCATCGCCACTGGCCGCTGTGCACCATGGTTGGCCTGCTGTCTTCATGCTTCGCCAGATTCTTCACGATCTTCAGCAGAGATCCAAACACCACCCACTCACCCTGACAAATGGACAAACAACAGTTTCATTTTGCATTAGGTGTCTTACTTTTGAGGATGAATTCACTATTGCATTCACACAAACAAGGTGCAATGTATTCATTGCCCAACATCGCCTGCTGGGTGAAATGGCTTGCCTTGTCGTGTGATGACAAGATGTAATCATTCTATTTGGATACACCTAGTTGCTGAATGCAATGCATACCACATGCAGCACGCGCCACGCAGCAACAACAAATCTTTGGCAACGCTGGGTTCAGCTAAGAATAGAACAAGCATTAAGCCTGTGTTCCATACAGTCAGCCTGTACGTTATGATGGAGCAACGGCCAACACATCCTATCATGCCACACTCAGCCAGGTCCAGGTGAAAATGAACAAAGAATGTGTTATGGCCAAGCAAGGTGCATAGATTTAAGCTCAACATAGACCTAAAGGTGCAAGCAAATCATTTGTGAAATGTGTTTGAAAACTGGAAACAAGTCAAGCCACACTCAGCTGGATCCAGCTGAACTGCACAGAAAATTTGCCTGCACATGGAAAATCCCACAAACAACCACATTGTGCCACTCCGGGGTTGGAGTTCATTGAATAAACAGCACTGGCAAAAGGTGGAACAGGACACATAAGGCATAGTGATTTATCAGGTTTCGATGAATGTCAACATGGATCTCTACTGAGACCATACCTTGAAGTATTCCATCGCTTTGGCAACCTTGTCCAAGAGCCCATCCTTTGCCATCTGTACAGCTCCCTGTGGATATGGAGTCGATATCGGCATTAGACTGTCATGCAAATTGCACGTGTTTCATTTGATCTGAAGAACAAGGAGGACCATTTAGTAGTTGTTAACATACATTCAGTTTGAATGTGCTCAACCCAGACAGGAATCAGAATACAAATGCTAGAGATGGCATGGTTGGCAAAATCAGGCATTACCTTTCTGTACCTGGTAAGCATTGCCAGCAACTGACTCAGGGGCAGCATATACAGTTGTTTCTGTGCAGTTCGCTTTCAATACTCCCATCAAGCAAGCCCATCCACCCTGCCATGCACAGGGTCAGCAAATGCGTGCCAATTAGTTGAAGAAAGTTTTGTGCCTCCGTTCAAAAACATCTGAATACACATTCAATATTATTTGGGCCACCAGAAGAAATTGTGTCTCAGTCTCTTGTGAAACACACCATTAAAATGGCGAGCAAACAACAGCTGTGCAAAGACCACATTCATTAATTGGCATTGTTAATCGAGAGTCCAGGATTTGGGTGTGACCATATCAACCTCTCAGCAAATATCACTGACATGTTCAGTTCGATGCGGCAAACGCGCTTGACAAGCATACCACATGGCAACAGCAGTCACAACAGAGTGAAAACTGAAACGCCACACGGCAGCAAGTGGACAGTGAACCATGCCCAGTGCCAAGGAAGTGCCAAGGGCACACCTTCTCCTTCAGGATGGCCTGCACGCTTGCCACACTTCCACTGCTGCACTTTGCAAGCGTCCTACAAGCCAGCGCTGTGATGTCGGCACGGCTTTGGTGGCGTTTCAGCACTTTCAAACATAGTTGCAAGCCTCCCTGCACGTCAAGACCAAAGAATGCAGTGAGAGTCGTTGGTACATCCACATGGCAAGCAAAAATTCCTTGCTGCTGGCAACGTTGGGAAAACATCATTCAAGGATGTTTCTGAGCAGCCTGCACACATGACTTGCATACCTTTGGTATTTTGCTGCAGACATATGGTAATGCATTTGTTGCCCTTTCTGAATCACTTGTCCGATGATGAGCCTACCCTAGCTCCTCTACAGTGTTAAAGGGCAGTTTGTCATCATATAAATAATGTCTCTAATACAACAATTAGTCTCCAAGTGGAAAACCAAGTCCAAGCCTGCATGCAATGTGGATTGCTGGGTCAACAACGCAGGGAGAATGAGCCATCCATGCAGATGAACGCAACAGACTGCCCAGCCAAAGGGACCACACATTGCCTGCTCACCTTGACACTACAAGGTAGCAGTTGCTTAGTGCCAGCCAAACGCAATCAAAGAGAATTGCATGAGGTTGTGAACAGGAATGCATGCGGTGAAGTTGCTGCAGAGTACTTAAGAACGTTCAATTCTGTACAGCAACTTCACAGTCTGCAGCGCTGCTCGCAATTCCCTGTTCCCGGCACCAAAATACAGAAAAATACACCCATCTCATTGTCATAGGGTTTGGGGTCAAACAGGAACAACTGTACTGCAGTGGAATCTTTGAACCCATTGACTAGCTTCATTTATGGTGGTTCTTTGCCAGTGGTTCTAGAGTTGCATTTCTATCTGTGCAGATCAGAAACAAGGCAATGAAGCCATTGCAGTTGTCTTAACAGCAGAAACATGAAAATGTCATTCAAATGTCTTTGAATCTGACTCTGCGTGTGTTTCAGCGCCCTGAAACACTTGCATGAGCAACAAGTTCTACACAAGGTGAGTTAAAACTGGTCGATCAGCACATGTCCAAGTGTTGCCTCCAATAGTGCAGTGAGTAGGAACACCATAGCACCACTGTCATGCTGTGCGATGCAAAAGGCACTCGTCTCTAAAACTTCAACTTCACACCTCAAGGCGCAGGGCAGCAGCAGCATGGGAAGCATGGACACCGATCAGCCACAAGCATTGGAGCCCTGCTGACACCTGTGAAGCATACCATGGGTTCAGACAATTGCTCAGGGCATTGCCAACAATATGCTGTTAGGCACACCTGGGCTGTGAGGCTTGAACTTGTTCTCTCAAGAACACACATCGCACACAATGTGATATTTCTTGCAGGCACAATGCAGTACCTCACATCCACTTCTATCCATGTACGCATCCATTTGGATAATACCTGGAAACACAACCAACATGAACGAAGACTCCTGCGACTAAATATTCCTTTAGTCACCTTCGTATGTTGCAATTCCAAAACAAAAGTATTTCTTGGGAAAACCAAGCACATCAGAGATTGCTTAGAGACATATTTGTGCACATGCCACATCCATGTCCAGTGCAATTTAGAAACCATGGAAACCTTTTAGTACAGGCACCACAAAAGCCGACACAATACTACCACACGATGTACATGTCTCACAGCATTACTCACCAATGCCACAGAAGGTAGATGGGAGGAAACCACGTTTGTGATTGCCTTCACAGCATTCTGTGGCAAAACCTCCACCTTCCCTGCACAACAAAAGAATCAATGTCACTCGACATGCAACCGCTACAAACAGCACTGACAATGCAGGTCCAAGGAAGGGAGAAGCAGTTATGGTTGCAACATTAGTGCTGCATGCTGCAAGTGCCCTTAAATACAGACCTCAACAGTGACTTTTGTCCATTTTGTGTAAATATATTAGACAGAAATGGCTCATATGCCATTCGATGCTGCTTCGGTATTCCGATACACTGCCCTGCTTGACTAAATCGACCATTACCACAATCCGACATCTGCTCCTCATAGACCACAAGGCTGCAGGTGCAATAGCAATCGATGACCCATTTGGCACCAAGGCACAATTCTGTACTACCAGCAGGCTACAACAAACGAACCAAAAGCGGTCACTAACATACGCCTCATATGTGCTGGTTGCTGCATTCCTTGCAAGGAAGATAAGCTGCTATTCCTGGTGAACGGCAAAACTCATAAACCATCCAGTTTGTCACAAACGATTTCTGCACCAGCGCCAGAGATTTTCCTGAAATGCGGCTAGACCCTGCAAGAATATTGAACCCCAGGCTTCCTGGGCTCGTTGCCACACCCACTCCAGGAGTCACATAACGTGGATTCCATCCATCGTTCAGGAAGTGTTGGATGTCACTCATGCCCCAAGGCATTGATGTCTGCGACCTTCATCACTGCCGTGCACGTGCCACCCAATTTTGCTTCCCGCACAACGATCGTTGCTATCCTCATGCGGACTCAATTTGCGATGATGATGATGATGGCATTGTTGATGATGGACAATTTGCGACCCCAAGCCGTTGGAAACGATGCTGCCCAGCATTCCCGTTTCTGTCGCACCTGGTCCCCATGACTCATAACACCCTCTGAAGTCCCTCAGCGCTTGCAAGACGTTCTCTTGGTCCTGGGGGACGGCACACCAGTCTCGAAACAGGCCAGCCAGAAAAACACTGCCCCTTCCCCTGGGGCACAGCAGCGCAAGCCTCGCCCGCCGGCAATACAGGCGCCTGCGAGCCCCTTCCTGATCGATGTTCCATTTCGAAAAACTCCGTTGCGTGGCACGTGCTCGCCTCATCGGCGGGCAAATATTCTCAAGACAATCTCCCGTGACTGCAGTCCAAGCCATCGACGCGCGTCGCCCCGATCCTCTGCCAGGGCTCCGTCCACAACCCAACGATCAAGACGGCGGCCAACAGAAAGGGCGCGCGGCGACTTCTCACAGCCAGCCACCCCTCTTGCCGCGAACGATGCCCCCACCCCCCCACAACACCCCACCCCACCCCCCACACACACGCCCCCCGTCTCAAACGCGCAAACATCCACGAGTCAAGCGCGGGAACAAAAATCATTCCCACACAAAAATTCATTGTCCTGCCAAGGCCTGGGCGATGGCGCCCACGTCGGGCACACGCCCTTCCGCCGGGAGGGCAGGAGCGCGGCCCGGTCCAGCGCCAGCCCACCTGATTGGCCGCGCAGAGCGCGTGGACGATCGCATCCATGCCGCCTCCTCCGCCCAGCTTTTGGCCCTCGCTCGCGGGTGGGGCGCCCGGGGGAGGGCAGCACGGCCCCGCAGGTCGACCGGTGGTCAGCGCCCCGTCATCTCCACGCCTGAGTCAGGGTCGCCGTCCGCCGCAGGCCGCGGTTTGGCCGGTTTGGCGGTGAGCATGCCGTAGGGAGGGCTGTGGCGCGGTGAGAGGGGCGACCATGAGAGTGGCCTGTGGGGACGCACTGCGGGAGTGGGCTTGCTTTAGTCAGGGCAAAGCTATGGTCGGTTCCAGTATAGATGGTGATGAGGATGTTTGACCGCAGATCGTAGGGGATGTCCCGCTGCTCTACCGATGCCGGGGGCAAGGAAGAGGCTAGTCCAACACCTTAGGTACACTCCACCGAACGGCGTCACTGAGCACCTGGTGGAAATAATATTGCTGCCTGCACCAAAACGGTGACTGCTTGCACCAAATCACGTGCACACTATGCCCTAACCTCAGTTTTAGGCTTACTCTTAGTTTAGGTTGAGTTTTAGGGTAAGGGTAAGGTTTAGTATAGGTTTAGATTTAGGGTTTAGAGTTTAGGTTTTAGGTTAGTTAAGTTTTGGAGGGAGTTGGTGCAAGCAATCACTTATTTACCGATTTGGTGCAGCCAATAATTGTACGCCCAGCTGGTGCCAGAGTTTTTCACATATATTGATAGGCGCTGGGGTGTTCCCCCCAGGAAGCGGTACTGTTGGAGGCGGTTTGGGAGAGAGCTGCATGCAACGGAGTTATGGAAAATCTTAAACAACGATGTCCCTTACGGCTAGGCCATCCATTCACTCCATGTATCATGATTGTGTCAGATCAATGTCTTGTGCAAGTTGTGTACTACAAAAAGTTCGATCGGGACAATGCTCGCATATTTCACAACCAAAAACATTTGCTGGAAAATATTTTTGAGTATTATATGGTGTGCGAAAGCTTTTCGGTTGTGACCTTTTTTTTGGTATGCAGTATTTCCCTGTGCAGACCATCAAGCTGCCCTAGGTGCATTCAGATGGGTTGCCCTCGCCCATGTGAGGTTCAGGGTGCCATGGGTTTAAGTCAGTTGGGGCCCTGGCATATGATGATGTCAGTTTTGTAGCACTAGCATGTTGGGTTGGATGGTTTGAAGTTTTATTTTACATTTTTTTACAGAGAGTAGAGACCCTAGATACCAGCCCACACCAAAGAGATGTGTGGGATAAATGAGAGGGTGCAATGCACTAAAAATCCCAAAAATTGGGTTACCATGTGACGTTGCAACTGGCAACTTGTAAATGAACAAATTTAAAGCACTCACCCCTAACCCACCCCACCCCACCCACCCCCTGTTTCAGATCATAGATCATTGAAAATCTTGTTACACTTGTTTTTGCGTTCACACATGACATAATGAGGTAGTGGAAATTCGCACTCGTTATTTATTTATGACTAAGACAATGCAACAAACTTGGATTGTTTATGCTGGAGAAAGCCAATTTAATTTTATACATTCAAAAAAAATCCATCTTAAAAGTTTCGGTTGTTTTGTAATGATGACTTCAGGCAAATAATCACCTTGGGAATACATCAATCTTCCACCAATTAGGTTTATCACTAGTTTGGATCTGAGACGTGGCCCTACACTCCAACCCCAAATTGAGGGGTTTACGAGCCTATCAATAACTCTTATGCATGATGAAGATCCACAAACAACATATGGCTCGCGCAATGGCTCCAATGAAGCGGCGACATGCAATGCTCACATGATCTTAACTGTTCTAAGACCCAAACAATCATGCAAAATGTTTTGACAAGACAGCCGGAGGGATCTACAACCATGGGGGCCCTTGTTCTCTCATGTTGGCAGTGTTTTGTATCAACAAAATGGGATGTCTCCCATGGTCGATGAAACTGTGGTAGCCCTTGTCGATGGGTTAATTCCTATGGGCTTGTTTGTAAGTGAAGCGCATCGACGTCAAGCCCTCACTGGTTACTAACTAGTGAGGTTTTGACGTTCATGGTAATAGCAATAGAGGTGGGCTTAGAAGGACCACTCGGAGTGGTCCACTCCCACTTCTGCCAGCAAAATTGTATCTTGGTGAGGGATACGCTTATAAGAGCACAAAGTAATACAACCCAAAATATACCTAAAGCTATAGACAAGCCACCACCTCTGACCACTTGGCCTCAAATTAAAAATGATAGCATTGGCAAACATGGCACCCAGATCCAGCAATGCACAAATGTATTAAACTAAATGTGGTGCTATTATCTCCTACAGTAAAATCTTAGAATCACAAGTCACAATCGAACTATTCACAAAAATAAAGTTGCATGAAGTGTTATCCACAAAATGAGAATATAGTTACAAGCTTGTGCATTTTGTGCATGTTACACCATACAATTTAGAGCACGCTTTGGCATGAGGTCCCCTCAAAACTTAGGTTGTGAGGCCACACGGGCCCTGGCATTGTACAAGAACACGGCATTGTGATGGACGGATTTTTTATGATTCATAAAAATCGCAAACTTTCTTATTAAAATATATTTTTTATGTATTTGTTCAATTTGCTTCTTCAATGCAATAAGCCAGAACGTCAGATAATATTGTGATACCTTCGAAGGCTATAAGAAGAGAATGCCAGGGGGTAAGACCCCAGGGCAAGAACCCAATGGGCCAGTGCAACGTGATTTGGGTTTGTGCCGTAAAGCAAATCGTGTAATTCTTCATCATGTAGAATTGCAGAAATGTGCCGTGGAAGAATGGATGACCTGCATTACCATTGGAAGGTGTTCGGAAAAAGCAAGAGTAGCTGAGAAAGTACCAGAGGTGATCAATTAGGCATGCGCTCAGTTAACAATCTACAACTCTGGATCACAATACTAACGCTCAATATAGCGGGCACTTTTATGGGGCACACTTATGTAAGAGAAACCTTGTTGATGATGGTGCCACAGGGACATTAGTTACCCATAGTCTCTTTTTTATATCATTGAAACGCGTGCACACATAATATAAATTGCTCCATGGGTAGCAGTTCTACATGAGCAAAACATGCCGTTGCATGCAATACCCTAATCCAAAATACTGTCTACGTGGATGCCACTCCCAAATCATCCCAAGCAATGGTAGTAGTAATAATCAAATTGACATTCGGTGCTACGCTGATTTAGCAAACATATCATTGCCAACGAATATTCCACTTCCATGTCCCTGCAGAAATAATCTAGATAAGAATGAGTGTGAGAAAATTTAACAAGTTCACGATCGGGGATGGCTCTCTCAATGTAAAATGCTGTTGTGGAGCCTTGGCGGCTTGAATCAACAACACCTCCGACCATTTAGGATATGGCTTGCCGGACTTGCTACAAGCAAATTGCCTAGCATGCTCCCATTTGGATAAAGGATGTGCCGCATCAGACCTGTGGCAGAAATGAACAATTTGTCACCCAACGTCTAGATGATTACAAAGAGGCAAAGGCTTATATGTACATGATAGTGGTGCTTCAATACTGAATTAGCAATCTCCATATTACACTAGCTAGACAAAGAGAGCAAAGTTTATATCATAATACCATAGCCTCTATTGTAGATAATTTATGGTAGTCCAACTTTATTTACAGTAGCCTGGGTAGTCTTGAAGAAGAACAATTTTTGAATCAACATGATTTGGCCGTTTTTGTCCACCCCATAAATCTAATTGTATTAGGTGCAAGAGAGCAGGACATCACCTTTGGTCTAGAAATGTATTTCATTCATCATCTAAACATTTTGGCCCTTGTCTTCCCACTTGGAGGCTCGGACAGCATGGCCATCCTCCTTATGTCCTTCACATCCATACCCTTCTTTGCCGCAATCAATCCCAGAGCCCATTCAAACTGCTGAAAGGTGATCTTCCTATTTCCCTATTGCAACGCCATGCAAAAATCTCATAAAATGCAATATAACATATCTATGAAGCCCTACGCCAATGGACCAAATATAAATAAATAGATCCAAATGTGCAAATTTTACAAATCTCTTTCACAATTGCATGGCCCACTATTTGCATTAAATATTTTGACATCAAAGATGGTAACTATTTTTATTATAATTTTTCTAAGATGCAAATCTAAATTTTATGCATTTATCATTAATAAATAATGCATCAATAATGCGGTCTGAAACCCCTGGGTTCATTTCCGCCCTTGATGAAGCTTATTAACATTTTTCCAGGTCAAGGATTGTAGGAAAAGGCATTACAAACGAATAAAACAAAGTACTAAACTTTGTGCCACTTGTCCAAAAAGAGTGTCATAGCCAGGGCCAGAATCGATGCAAAATAGTGAGAGCAACAAGCTATGGAATTTGCAGTCAACACTGCCTGCGTTTTCATATTGTGGAGAAGCAGACAATGTTGCCCTTGAGTGTATATGTGGCAGGAAGATGCTATACAAGCCCCTTGCCTTATGAATATAGCGACAAGGCTGGCTCCCAAAAGAGAAGGGGAGTGGCATGTTATTATGTGCCATTGTCTATCACAAAGGTAATATGGAATTTCGCAATGCATGAAAGAAGATCCAAAGTTGTTACCATGACATACCCTGGCTCGAACTTGAGAGAAAATGTTCTCCACATTTTCGGCAGTTAATTGTGCATCAATGAGACCAGACTTTTGGCAAAAGCAGTTAAATCGTGCGATATCCATTTCATGCTGGTATTGTGGCCCCTCCTCGGCTTGCTGTGGCTTCCTCAATGAGGCGAAAGCAGCATAAATCCTTGACACATCCGCCCTATCATCTGCACAACAGTCGACGATGGTCAGCACTTGAATCTCACTGAAGACCAGGTTGATTCACAAAGTTAGTTGCATGGAAATATACTCGATTTTCTTCATGTCCCTTTGAACATCCTAAATGAGAGATACCGCATGTCAGTAATACAACATGTGAATGTTCAATGAATATTTACATTTGCAAACATTCACTTTCCGGTGCATGTGTCTGAGAGCACAAGGAACATA